ATTAAATTAGTTAAAATAGTAAAATCAATATGTACTTAATATGAAACTAAGCCTCATTTTAAAAAGTAGCGGATAAGTATGTTTTGAGTAGCTTTCACTAGGAAGAAACAGAGAGATGAAGACGCGTCGATTTGTATATTGTAGAATTTTCTAATACGTTTTCTAAGGTTCTTCTTTATCAATTTTCTAGAATGAGTGATGTAAGAATAATTGGAAAATACAGAAGTGATTTTTTTAGAAGAGGTGCTAGAAAAATAGACTTAAAGGTTCAAGTAGAATATCTATAGCTCCTGAGCGATAAAACCTAGAAGTTTAAACATTACGTAATTTTCTAGATCATCGATTGCCCGCTCGAATGCACACGGAAGATTTGATAATTAAAAATTTACTGTAAGCACCTTACGAATAACGTTACTTTTCAAAAAGATCGTTTCAAAATCTTTAAAAACCTAGGCCTATAATAAATGATTCGATGCGTCTTCCTCTACTCTTTCCGACGTGTTGAAAATCACAGTTCTCCTTCTTTTTTCTCTCAAAAATCATTAGCAAAATACTCACGCATGTTATTTTTTGAAAAAGGCGTTACAGTTTAATTCCACTAAAAGAACAAATTTCAATATGAAACAGGCACATGAGAATACTCTACAATTCATTCTGTTTTTCTTGTGTTTCTAACATATCATCAATGATTTTCTATCAAGAAATAAGTAGAACATGACTACATGTTTATTCATTAACAACTGAATATTATATTTTGTGTGCAACTCACTTGTGATCGATATAAGGGTTGAAAAGAAGAAATACGTACAATATTGAGTTGAATAATACAAATCTAAAAAAGACACAATTGTACTTTCGCCATTCACACTACAAGCACACACACTCTCTCTCTCTCAAAGACTAGAAAGGAATGCATATATATACATATGTGATAATGGGTATTTTCCCAGTATAACAATGAAAGGCAAAATGAAAATTGAATAACAGTGATGCAACATGGACTAAGGTCAAAGACGAGAAACTAAAGAAGAATAACTATGCTTTGTATGTATATATTTTGTGAGAGTGAGACTCTATATCATGACACAATGAAAAACATGGTCTCAACTGGGACTCGAACACAGGACCTTGGTTCATCGTACCAAAGCTCTAACCACTGAACTATGGAGACCCAGCATTAACCATGTTATTCATCTTTTTTGTGCGTTATGACTATCGATATGGTATGAAATTGTTGATTTTTAAATGACCAGTGGTTCTACGGATAGTTTAGCCTAATGTTAATTGTACTTTCATCATTCACACCACAAGCACACACTTCACTCTCTTCCAAAAACTAAAAAGGAATGCATATATATATATATATATATGTGATAATGGGTATTTTCCCAGTATAACAATGAAAGGCAAAATGAAAATTGTTGGATAACAGTGATGCAATATGGACTAAGGTCAAAAATAGAAACGACGAGAAACTAAAGAATAACTATGCTTTGTATGTATGTGTGTGACGGAAAAAACAGACTAACTAAAAAGGAGAGAATAAAGCCTTGTCAAGGTTATAGAATAACCTGGACATAACAATATATGTGGTAATGGGTATTTTCCAAGTTTAACAAAAAAAGAAAAATGAAATTGAATAATGATGATGCAACATGGACTAAGATCAAGATAGAAACGAAATGAACTAAAGAAGAATAACTATCCTTTGTATATGAGTGAATCGTATATTAATTGTACAATTGGTTGTGTAGTACCGTTTCTGTCATAAATCCGTAGTGGTTTGTCGGATTCCTAAAATTTTTTTCATTTTACTCATCTCATCACCTCTCACTATCGATAAAATTTTGAGTATTCAATGTTTTCAGGTGAGTGAGATACACGCATGAAAAAGCAGAAAAACGCGTTTTTATCTTGACTGTCATGACTAAAAACGCGATTTTCACATCAAAGACAGATGATAAAGAAAAAGCAAACTAGTGGATTGTGTAGAGTGCAAAATTCTCTATCCATCCATATCATTTACGATTTCGCTTCAGCACTTTGGCACAGACTTTTTTGGAGAATTAAGTTTTCCGTACAAATTGTAGGGAGACAACAAAATCGGTCTGACGGATTTAGGCCGCACTTAAGCGTAAAATTGATGCCACCATGAGATAGAGCATCAAAAACACTCCGGAAAACACGAAAGTGTTTTGCTAAACGCCTGTTAAGTGGTCCAAAAATGGCTAAGTTTAGGTTTTTGTAGGGAGAGATTTTGAAACTTGCGTTGCCCATAAGTCAATGAGATTGTATCTAAATTGTTTCAAACTTTCAGAACCTGAAGCAGGTAGGAAGTTGTACGAGTGGTAAAAATTTCAGCACTTAAAGTTGATGTCTTCCTAGTAAACTTCGCGTTATGCCGCAAAATGTAGGAAGAGATTCGTTGCGAACTTTTTTCCTATTCATAGCTGTGCAGAACTGAGAAGAGTAAACTTTAATGGGTTTTCGAACACGCTCTTTCTAGTAGAACAAACAGAACTACGTAAAACAAAAGCTTGGAAGTATTTACCAATAAGCCGGAAAAATCGCAAAGATTCTCTGAAAGCGTTTTTTGACAAGAATAATTCCAACGGGTACATCACCTGCAGGTAATTTTTCCAGCTCAATTGCTCCTGCATAAATCGTAGGTCTCTATCTTGTTTCTATTAGAAGTTATTTTGAAAATATCACGGGTCATCGTTAATTTAATACATTAGGAAATCGCACCTCTATTATCTCAGCCGGTAGACCTTTGCTAGTTTGGAAATTTTTACCTGGTACTCAGAAAATTATGAGGAATAGTCTGGTCGACTCAGATTTTTGATAAAGTTACTTACATTTTTTTCCCATAAATTGTACAACTAAAATACGATTCACTCATATGTGTATGATAGAAAGAAAACAAACTGAAAAGAACGACTAGAGCCTTATGTCAAGGTTACAGAATAACCTGGACATAACAGACTTCAACCAAAGACATTAAGAAGTTGACTTTTCTGAGAATAAACGATTTTATTCTTTTGATGTGAATAATAGTCCATTAATAGACTTTCCTTTATGCAACGTTTATTCGTATTTGACTCAATTGCGAGTATAGTGTAGTTCCAGTCATTTTCATGATCATATTCTAAGCAGTGTTCAGCTATACGTGATTTCCCAATTCCTTTCAGTGCATTCATATGTTCTTTCTTACGCACTTACGCTCCTCTTGCTGTCTCTTGCTGAAAAATCTATTTCACTTCTCTCTGTTATTTTAACTTAGCTATATACGTCATTGCAACTTTATTTTATTTTAATATTATATTCACTCTCTATCATACATATACAAACGCATGTTTATTGTATATACGTGCACGTAATCATTCAAGTTCAGCCACCAGTGAATCAAGAGTCCAGTCTTTATGGTGTGCGGAAAGTTTTCGGAGTTTTCACACTTTTATTTTGACAGTTTATAAAATTATAACAATAATATATTATTCATCAAAGTATAAACCATTATGTTCTACGGACTTAATCCATCGTTTTGCAAGCAATTCGATTCCTCTGCGGTACCAGTCTCGGTCCTTGGAGGCGAAAAATTCTCAGCACCCGTTTTCGACTTCGTCAAAATTGGTGAAGCGCCTTCCACGTAGAAAGTGAGCCATCGAGCGGAACAAGTGGTAATCAGATGGCGCAAGGTTTGGACTGTACGCTGGGTGAGGGAGAAGCTCCTACTGCAGTTCTTCTCTTTTTCTCGCGTCCTAGCCGCAACGTGTGTTCTGGCGTTATCTTCCTACGATTGACCAATGCTGGGTAGCGTCGCGGAGAACAGCATGCACGCGCTCGAGTTGTTGAGAATAGAGGTTGGCGTTAATGGAGTGTCCATCAGGAACCAGCTCAAAGTGGATTACACCCTCAAAATTCCACCAAACACTTAACATGACCTTGTTTTTGAAACAACCTCTTATCGGGAATGGAAGTGCCGCCTCACCTAGATTGATCCATTGGTTTTGTTTGTTTGGATTGTTGAAATGAATTCACTTTTCATCGCAGGTAACAGTTCGATTGATCAAACGTTCGTCCCAAGGGTTCGCGAGCAATTCTTTTCAGACGTTAACGCGATGCTGAGCTTGTTCTGGTGTCAATTCGTGCGGTACATTTCGACAGCTTCTGCTGATCTTGCCCAGACGATGAAGATGTTCATATATTGTGGACTTTGATGTTCCGAACTCGGCCGACAATTTACGCGTACTTGTGGCTGGATCGGCTTCGACGGCTTGGCGCAGCGCCTCTGGATCAACCGAGAATGGTCGCCAGGAGCGGGGCTGGTCTTCGAGGTCCGTGTCGCCGTTCTTGAATTTTCTGAACCAGTCAAATGCAGTGCTCTTCTTCACAGCACCCTCGCCCTTCGCTGCACAGATGTTTCGAATTACTTCGGCCGCTGTCAAAATAAAAGTGTGAAAACTCCGGAAACTTTCCGAACATCATAAAGACTGGACTTTTGATTCACTGGTGGCTGAACTTGAATGATTACGTGCACGTATACAAATTACTCATTGAAAAATAGTTTTTTCATACGATTTCTATTTCAGATATAAAGCGAATAATTCTCATATCGATAATACATTAACTGCATTGCGTATGAATGAATCAACGTACGCACCACTACAAGAAGTCACAGTTGATTGTGATATATCAAATGCTACAAATAATGCATCCAACACGCGTAAACAATTAAATGATATAACAAATAGAGAACATCTACTATATGACCAACAATCAATGAAAGGTATCAATGGATTAATTCGCTTCGATAAAATTTCGATTTGTGACAAAACTAAGACAATAGTGAATGAAAAAATGGGATTGATCATGACGAAGGTGGAATTGATGAAGATGGAGCATTGTATTATTATACCAATTATACTTGTAGTAAGAAAAATCGAACATTTGTCAACAAAGAAACACCAAAATATGAAAAAGACTTGGTTTTGAAAGCCATGGAAGTAGTTCCTCGACTTATTGCCAACATACACGTATTGGATTATGCCGTCATGATTGCCCATGATTTGAGAGGACAATATTCATTTGACGATGGACATACGAATGACTTAGATCCGAAATTTATCTCGATTATTGATGAAGCACTAGAACGACTCATTTTTTCAAAAACACCCGTTACAACCATCGATAATGTTCCACGTCGAGTCGTCTACATCGAACGTGAAGCATGTGTCAAAGACGTCGAATTTCATCGGTATCTACACGAGATATCCATAGCTTTTTTTGATGTTACCAAACCGAATCTGAACAAGGTCATCGAGGCAATTCTTGACGTACTTGGATCATATAAAAGATCAATCGAATCAATACCAAAAACACCGGAATGTAAATTTGTTAAGTATGTATTAACAGAGTTTCCGCACAATTTTGTGAAATGCAGTTGGTTAGACAAACTACCAGGAAATAACGGTACTGCTGCATGTGCCGGAGACAACGTTCCAGTACGAAAACATACGAATAAAGATGGAATTTTGAAACGACTAGTGGAAGAAAGATTATTGATATATGCTGCTCATATCGTTGATTATTCTCAGCAACCACATGCCTATTATCGTCTTCTGCCATGCATAGATGAAACAGGACAAACAGAATTTTGCGATGCGTTGTCTAAGTATGATATTAGTTTGAATGATGTGATTGCGTGCCATCACAAATCATCGATACCATCAACAAACAAACCAACAATGGATATGTTTCGATTTTATCAAGGCAAAATGGAGTACAAGAACGAATGCCAAAAGTATTTTCCGGAGCATGAATTCATCGAAGATCTTTATCCGTGTGTAACAGAAATGAAATCGGTGCAACAACACCAGCTACCGAGCCAAACATCTTGTCAACCGTTGGTGGTAGCAACAGTCGAAGGATCGTGGCAAGTGGATGACAGATTGAATTCAATTAGCCGATTTAGTGTATCTGAAGAATTTCAGTTCGATTCTGATCACCACTCACGATCAAGATTGTACAAATTTCGTTTGAACAGCGATATAAAATTTGTTGATCAGGTGTTGGCAGTCTTACGATTAATGGTTACTGAGTCAGTGTTCGACGATGTTGTCCAAAAATTAATCGAATTTCGTAAGTCACAAGGTAAGTCGATCTTTTTCTAATTAGCATGAATTTTACTGTTCTATGTGTACAGATATTGAGGACGAAATTGAAATTCCATTGAATTATGAGTCCATACCATCAACCATAGCACAATCAGCCGATGAGGGTAAGCATCTTCTACTTTTTATCTCTGGTTTATTCCTTATTGTCTTTTATTCTTTCTGTCTAGAATTAGAAAAAATAAGACAGTTGACTGTAGCTAGTAAAGAGACTGGAGATACTGATCAACCAAGAAGCGCTGATAGTGGACCGAGATTTGCGCATTTCAATCTATGGGATGATATACCTATGAACCTACCAGTTCAGAACGGCCGTAACTCATCTCGTATGTCAGGTAAAACGTGCATCTATAATACCTGCCAGAATTAATGAAATTAATCAATAAATAATGTTTAGCAGAACTCAATTAAAAGGAAAAGAAGTCACCAATGGCAACAACAAACGAAAGTGAAAAAAATAAAGAAAATACTTCCCCAACAACAGCCTCTTCAATCACTTTAGTCAACGGTAATGATACTGAACGTTGCGCAACATTAAGAGACAAAGAAGCTCTATAATCCCTTTATTATACATGCTATCTCTTTTTAGTTGACGATAAACCACAAACAAGAAAACAAAATAAACAAGTGGAAGAAAAATCGATTTTGAATGTGGTGACAAACGATGTCATTTCGGCGCTGAAACGTCCTAACGGTGCAAAGGATACGAAAGCAAAAAGTCTATTATTAATCGTCTGTTTCGTTTTAGTCCTACAAACTCCTCCAGCTGCAAAAGGTTGCAGTGGCAACCACTGCCAAAAATGATTTCTTGTTTGATGTTCAACTTAGATTATTTTATTCTCACCTGTTGTATAATACCAACCAGCAATTCCAATACAAGGTATTTTTGATGGTCTTTTTGTGTTCTTGTAACGTGATTCATCAATGGCATCACCAACAGCTTTCATAACACCGGAATTTGTACCACCAGGGAATATCCCTGCACCTGAACGCAAACGTCAGTTAGGAGTTCTTTAGAAACTGGAAAAGAAAACAATAGCTGTAGTCAATGCAGCGGGTATCAATCCATTTTGCAATGCATTTCTTATCTCGAATGTTGTTATTATAAAAAATCTAGCTCCACCTGTCACCGAAATTATCAGTTCTGGTATTGGTAATTTCCATGCTTCTCTCATAAAATTAACTATTTGCTTTGCAGTTTCTGGTGGCGGTGTCGTATAAGACTACTTTAAATCACTAATTGCTCAATTGTTGGTACTGCTGTTGTTGTTGTTCTTGAATTTGATCTAGAAATTGTGGCTGATGGAGTTCTTTCTGGTGCAGTTGTTGAATTTTTATCATTAGGAGTAAATGGATATCGAACATACTAAGATGGAAAAAGACTCAACCTGAGACATACTTCTGGCAGCTCCTCTAGGGACTGATCTGTTACTAAGACTGATAATACGTTAATAAATTTCACTGCAGAATCAAAAGAGTTTAGAGAGTCCACCTTCATCCTTTGCATTAACTTGAACTAAACAACGACGATGCTACAGTACTCCGCAAAAGTAGCGGCTCTCCTGTAAAATGCTAATAACTCCTGATCCAAGAGAGATAAAAATCTTTTCTTTTTACCGAAATGTAGTCCTGATTCTCCTCTATCTATGATATGAATTTAGAGTGGTAGCTGTCAATGGTTACTGAAAGACAGCTAGTTTACGACCGAGGCCTCTGGAAATGAGGTTCTTTCAAAGAAAAATTCATATCTCATTCTAGGAACATTAGTTCGACTTCAAACTCACAGAAAATACTCTTCGACAACTGTAGACTATCCACTCAAAGTATCAAGGCTAACT